TTTCTTTAGACGGTAGCCAACGCCATTCGTTCTTTTTGGTCGTATCTTCTATCTCCGCCAGGCGATGAGCGACGAAAGCTTTGTACGCGCGAGGCTCCGATCTTATCCACACCAGTGCAGTACGGGAATCGCACCAGTATGTCTTGCCTGCTATGTCGCCATCGTGTTCATCGATCACGGTCTGCGCAAGACGAGCTCCCAGCAGTGCCGCTTGTAACTCGAGCCGTGGTATGGAAACTGGTTTCAGTGGTGTTACGCGGCTCTTGGCGGCGGCCAATGATATGTTAACGCTGCCGTCTGCTCGCTCCGTTCTCCAATACACTGCTGCTGCGTAGGCCTCCTCGCTTGCGTCGACGAATGTGTGTAGTTGGCGCGTCGACACCGGGTTGTAATCGTAGCATCGCGGTATTCTTAGTTGTTCTATGGCGTTAAGTGAAGTAATCCAGCCTTCCCATTTTTCTTTTAATTCTGTTGGCAGAGGGTCGTCCCAGTCCGCCTTGTAACGCCATGTGTCTTGAAATATTCTCTTCGCTGGGGTGGTCACCGGTGATATTAACCCCAGCGGATCAAATAATGCCATTATGACGCTCAACGCTTCTCGTTTAGTTGGCAAGCGTTGTTTTTCTTTTACGTCGGCAGGCATCTTCATATTGTTAGTATTGAATCCAATATGATCGCTTTGTACATGCCAGAGCAGCCCTAGCGTCTTCTCAGTTTCTTTTCCGCCCAGGCACACGGTCGCGTCGTGTTGTCTATGCTCTGTCGTTATTTCTTCTATTGTTTTTTCTTCGTTCGATGTCCACCCGCTGAGTACGAATCCCGCTTGTTTGTGGACGTGATCGACTGCTTTTACTGTTTGCTGAGCTTCCGTGACAGAGTGGAAGCTCTGCAAGTAGTCGTCCATATAATGGTTTCTTTTTATGGCGACCGCAGCTTCTGGGTACGCTTCTGCATGTTCTTCAGCATTTTTATTTTTGATGTATAATGCTGTGCATGGTGATGATGTCGCTCCAAAGATGATTGACGTCATCCTATATTCCTCCGGTTGGTCCTCCCGCCGCTTGCCTCTCCACAAGAAACGTAAAACGTCTCTATCTTCTTTGCGCACTTTAATCTGCATGAACATTTCTTTTATATCGGCGCTCACTGCATACGGATACTGTCGGAACCTCATGATCACTCCGGGCAGTGATTGTAATAAGTCGGGCCCCGAGTGAAGCATATCGTTGAGACATATTCCGGCTGTCTTCGCTGCGGCGTCGTGTACCAATCTCGGCGGCTTGTTCGGTTTCGCAGGGTTGATGACTGGGAAGTGTGGCAGATACCATGTCCTTCCTTGCGGCGGTGGCATTGGCGCGCGCTCTGCGTAACCCGAGTTGAAGAGGTTCTCGATGCGTTCTTCGTACTGTAGCTTGAGATTGCTGTCTCGGTCGAGCCTCTTCTCTAAGGTGTGCAGGCGCCTTTCCGCTTCCTTATAATTATTTGGTATTTGGAAGTCCTTTTGTTTCCACAACAACCCTGTCTCGAATCTGCCGTCCGCTGACCTCTGGCTGGTTTCGTCCAATATTTGCATGGCTCGCTGCTCGGGATCTTCTTTCGGTCTTCTCGGCTCGATGCACAGCGACTCCAATTTGAAATATTTTTTTATTTCTTCTTCTATCGGTGGTGCATCTTCCCTCTGATGTAGTCTGCCGCAGAAGGTGACCGTCGACGTCAATGAGCTATGACAGCCATGCAGAACCCAGCCCAGGTTGGTGTATGAGGCGACTGGTTGGTCTCGACGGCCGACGCGCAGTTTTCTAGACACTATGAGGTGCCAGTTATCTTGCCCGATTAGTACTTTCGGTGAGGCGCGTTCGTAGGTGATATCCTCTTTGATATCCAACAGATGTGGGCACTTCCCCAAGTGATCTTCATTCACGGATTCTGGCGCGAAGTCCAACCGCTCTACAGTACGCGCTGCTTCTATGTTGTGTTCTTCTTGCGCGTACGTTCCTCTTATTTTAAAGCTGACGATCTTGCTCTTCTCGTGTTTCACCTCCGAGCCGACCCCTTGTATCCACATTGTGTGGGCTGGGCCGTCGGCGCCGATGACGTCGGCGATTGAGGCATCGACTAAGGTGACCGTGCTTCCTTCATCCAATAATGCGTATGTTTCGACGCAGCTTAGCGGCCCCCTTATTGTTACGGGCGCAATCTTTAGGTAAGCGCGGCGGTGCTTGTACGGTCGAGTCGCTGTGCTGACCTCCTTTGCCGATGTTGCGGTTTCCATAGCGGGTTCTTTTTCCATTACTGCTGTTCTGTCATGATGCAACAATTTATGGTGTTTCATCATGCATCCGCCTTTTCCGCACGGTGGAGCTTTGCACAGTAATCGACGATGTTTGCCTCGCAGACCGCGGTAGCAGATATTGTACTTCTTTGCTACTTCCCATCTGTCATTTGTGGACAGAGCGGCGTATGACTTGCAATCGGGCAGTTTGTGTTCTTGTTTGCATTGAGGGCAGCGTTCTTCATATGGTTTCTTGCTTGCGGCGAAGGCACGTTCTATTTTTCTCGGTCTTCGCTCTCTCGTTTCGCTGTCCTCTGCGATGAACTCCGGCAAGGCATACGCGCTGCATTTATCCGCTTCTTCGTTTAAGAACATTGATATCTTCTTAAGCTCTGGGATATCTTCTTTCTTTCTGGCTGCATAGTCGTACCATTTGCTTTTCAATATGGGCGTGAGTTTGTCTGTGATAACTCGCGTCATTTCTGGACTATGCAGATAGTGTGCTTTCTTGAGTGCTTCCACGGTGCCCACTACGTTCGCTATGCGATTTGCGAATATGCATAGCTCCCTGGGATTGTCCGTAACTTTGTTCAGCAGCTTCAGCTTCTCTATTTCCAAGTGAATTAACGCTTCTGGTCGTCCGAATCTCCTTTCCAAAGCTTCTATTATAATTCTGGGATCTGGTTGGCTTATAAGTAGGCAACCTGCGGCTTCTTTTGCTGTCCCTTTTAAGCTTCGGCGTATTCTCGCTATGTTTTCGTTCGCCGTGAAGTACTTTGAAGATTCTTCGTACATTGTCTTGAAGCTGAGCCACTCCTTGCTGCTACCATTGAATGAGGGCAGCTCTTGTATATATTTCGGCGGCTCCCTTGTGCTTCGTACTGCTTGTGATAGAGCAGCGGCTAAGGTAGCGACGTCGATTTGCTGCTGCGCCTGTCCATAGTCTTCTTTCTGCGGCGCGGTATGTTGCGGAGCGTATTGCGGCGCACACTGTTGAAGTACGGGTGGTGCGATCTGCAGTGCTGGTTGCGGTGCGAAGTACGACGTGGGTTGCGGCGCAGGCTGCGGCGCGGGTTGTGGCGCGGGCTGAGGCGCGGGTTGCGATGTAGGTTTTTCTTGCAACCATGTACTAATGCGCACTGATGCCAAATCGTCTTCTATTTCTTCATCTTCATCGGTTGATCCGGCTTCTGCTTGTAGTCGCTGCACGTGTATTTCTTGCAATTCTGTTCTTGCTTGCAACTGAGCCTGCTCGAGCTTGAGTTCGGCTAACCGCTCTTTCGCCTCTAACTCCGCGAGGAGTCTCTTGCGTGAGGCTACGGAGCGGCGTGACCTAGTCTCGCCGGGCTTCAATGTGCACTGCGATCTTTGATCACCCTCTTGCTGGGTTTCTTCCGTTGCGGTTGTTCTATCGGTTGCCGAGGTAGCGGTCGTATCGCTGACCGTTGTGGTTTCGCTGACCGTTGTGGTTTCGCTAGTGGTGTTTGTTGAACCACTAGCGGCTGAGTCGCCCCCGGAGGCCTCTTCTGTGGCCCCCTGGGTTGTTTGTTCATCCTTGCGACGCTTCGATGATTCTCCGTTGTTACTACGCGTAATCACCATTTTTCTTCACAATAATATTTTTTCGTTCTTGCGGTTTGCTTCTTTCTTCCGGCAATACAAGACCGATATTGTCTTTTTCTTCTAGTAATCCGGCTTCTCGAAGGACCATTAATATTACGGATCGCCGTAATGCCGTGCGAAAAATGGAATAAAACGCGCTGGTCTTGCTTTTAACTGGAGGCAAGCGGCGGTGAGGAGGAACTTGTACTTTTTCTTTTCTTGCTGGTGCCTTTTCGGTGGCTGGAGAGCGACTGCTGACCCTAGCGGCCGGCCCGTCTTTTATATGATTTGGCCGCTGCTGGCCAGCGGACCCTTGCCTCACCCCCGCGCCTATCTTTATTTATTTAATAACCTTACAAACTAATAAACATAATTCACTATATAATATTCTTATAACTACTTGTTAGACTAGGGTGTACATATCAATATTTTTACTTATTTACAGGTTTACATTATAATTTTCAGCTGCTTTAGGCGGAGAATCCTTCCCCCCGCCTCAGCACTATAAATATAAAACGCCGTGGCGCGGTGCGCGTGGCTTCATTTGCTCCGCGGCCGCGTCACGATAACATGCTCTTTGGTTACACTACTACTATTTTTTTTTATGTGCCTAACGGCCTAATATATTTATTATATAATAAAGTAAACATTTATTATATTTAACAATTATAGTTTTCATTAGAAGACTATGCTAACTCTCCCTGTTCATACGGTGCCTTTATTTGGGAGAGTTATTGCACAGTTACAACTCAACCTTAAACTTAGTTATAATACAATCATTATTTTTTATCGTTCGATACAAGTAATACAATTATTTACACAAATTATAATTTAAATTCAACATAAGGTTGCGCTAGTTCCGCCGTATAACCCTTGCTAGTTGTCGAACCAGAGGCGTGGCCTGATAATTACACCGTCGTCATGGCTCCGCCCACCGCTCCTAGGTTGTTCAACTAGCGCCGGTTACAATAAGCATTTTCTTTCGTTTGTTTAATATTGTTGCGTCGTGCACAACTATTGTCAAAAAGAAAACTGAAATTGATATTTTTTGATTAATCTCATCAGGTTAATTTAGTAACACGTAACATTTATTTACAGATAAGAAAATATTGCACATTAATTCGAGATGGACATTAGTAATATGGCTCCTCGAGGAATGGTGGTCACGCCGCACCATTTAGCTACTCAAAGTGCTATGAAGATACTAAGAGACGGTGGCACGGCTATGGAAGCTACAGTCGCTGCTGCAGCTACAATTGCAGTTGTCTACCCTCACATGAATAGTATCGGCGGAGATGGTTTCTGGCTCATAGTTCCCCCGCGCGGTGATCCAGTTGTAATTGAAGCTTGCGGTGCAGCGGGTAGCTTGGCTGATTTAGATTTCTTTGCTGATTGTACTGAGATACCGACTAGTGGACCCCGATCAGCTATTACTGTCGCTGGTACAGTCGGTGGCTGGGAAGAAGCCTTGAAATATGTTTCTGAATGTGGTTATCAAAGAATGTCTGTTTCCAAGTTATTAGAGGATGCAATTACTTACGCAGAATACGGATTTCCGGTGTCGTCATCTCACGAAGATAATTTGAGGGAATTCCACAACAACGTGTCACCATCTAAAGATTTCGTAAGCACTTATTTACCGAATGGTAGAGTTCCGAAAGTTGGTGAAAGATTTTGCCAAAAAAATCTTGCGAAAACTTTAAGAGAACTAGCTGAAAATGGACTAAATAGTTTCTATAAAGGTAACTTAGCTAGATTAATCGCCGAAGATATGTTAATCCTTGGTATGCCAATAACAGAAACTGATTTATCAAATTACACGCCAATCAGACGAACTCCTCTGAGATTAATACATGAACACGGCGAGATATTTAACATTCCCCCACCATCTCAAGGTTTAGTTTCACTCTCTATTTTAGCAATCTTAGATAGGTTACGTATAAACGGTGAGAAAGAAGAAGAATTTATCCATGCCGTAGTCGAAGCAACAAAACAAGCGTTTGAGCTACGTGATCGGTATATAACTGATCCATCTTACATGAAAGTGGACGCACAATCATTGTTAGATGATCATGTAATTAGTGAAATGGCAGATAAAATTAACCTTGACAGAGCATCTATGGTCGCTAATGGAAAAGGTCCAGGAGACACAATTTGGTTGGGTGTTATGGACGAGAAGGGATTCTCCGTTTCGTTTATTCAAAGCATTTACCATAACTGTGGCAGCGGAGTGGTTTTACCCAAAACCGGTATATTATGGCATAATCGGGGTATAAGTTTTAATTTGCAAAAGGTCCATATTCTATCGTTAAGGCCGGGCAAGAAACCATTCCATACCTTGAACCCTGCAGCGGCTCGTCTAAATGACGGCCGGGTTATGGTGTATGGAACTAGAGGTGGAGATGGTCAGCCTCAAACTCAAGCAGCTATCTTTCACAGGTACGTTATACAAGGTCTAAACTTGCAAAGATCTATTTCGGCTCCTAGGTGGGTATATGGAAGGACAACTGGAATACGAAATGATATTTTGCATTTAGAAGACAGATTTAGCAAAGAAATCATAAATTATTTAAAAGAAAGAGGCCATGAGATTTTTATATTGTCTCCATATAGTGAGACTGTTGGGCAAGCTGGTGCATTGGTACGACATTGTAACGGTATGCTTGAAGGTGCTTTCGATCCTCGTGGTAATGGAAGCGCCGCAGGGTTTTAACACTATACCAAAACTATAACATAATAATTGATACTTGTATAATACGGTCTATGCGTTTCAGCCGATGCGTCCAATACAACATTTCATGCCTATTTATGCACTTTGTGCAATATTATATAAATATATATTATATTTTATTATTTATATATTATGATCCATTCACAACTAACGTCGGTTTTAATTAATACCCCGTCCTGCAACCCACAGGAAAAAAGGCATTTATATATCCCCATTTATGTGTTTTAAATGTATATAATATTGTAGTTTTATATGATACTTTTTGCAATATTTTTTTCTTTTTTTTTAATAAAACGTTATCCCCACACTAGGATTTTCTCCTGTATCGTGGAGGAAGTTTACAAACATAAATTGCGCGAGGACAAACATCCAGACCCGGAACAATTATTTGTAGGCCATACAAATACTTGTACCGTGCGGAATTCGAACCCGCGGCCCCCAGCGCAACAACTCATTGCTAAGCGACTGCGCCACGAAGCCGTCAATATTATAATGTTATTTAATTAAAAATATTATGTAAGTTCAAAGTGTTACTCAAGATATATTTTCTGTGTGTTGTTCGACAGTTCTCATTCTTTTCCTCCCTCTTCCTCTTTTTTGGCGAGAATTTAGTGACTGTTGTGTATTCGGAGTATGATTTGTGTTAGATGAGTCCGGTGCGTTTGATGATTGTTGTGTGTCCGTTGTATCTGATGATGGTGGAATGGTTTGTATGTGTTTATCTTGGATGTTTAGTGAATGTTGTATATTCAATGTGTCTGCGGTGTTTATTGAATCCGTTGTGCTTGGTGACTGCAGCGTATTTGATGACTGTTGGGTGTTCAGTATATGTAGATGGTCTTGTTGATTATGAACGAATACAGTGTCACTTAACACTTTGGTGAGTATAGTTGACGTGTGAATAGCTGCTTGTTTTTGAAGTATGCTAATGTTAATATGGCTATCGAATTTACCTATGTATTTCTTGATACTTTTAGCTACTCCTCCCGTTGCTTCTATTACTATGAGAATAGCAATGGCTTGTGTATTCCACAGACGACTAACTTCGGTTTTGAGCAGGTGGTATTTGCTTAATTTTCCAATTTCCTTGGGTCCTATATTGTAGTCTGATGGTACAGTTATATCTATTAAGAATGTTTTATTACTAGTTTTATCAATATATATTAAATCAGGTCTATAGTATGTTACAGTAATATCAGTTTGGACGGGCATATCCCACATGATTTTAGCAAACTCATTTTCTTTAATTTGTGGCCGGATGAGGGTTTCTTTCCACCAAAGTTTAGAAACTTCTATTTTATGCACATAAGACTCGTTCACATTTTGCGGATGTAGAAACATCGCCGACTCTCGTCTATTTGCAGATAACATTTTCCTCACACAACAAGTTCCTCACTTCTTAATTTCGAAAATTTTTAAAAAACACTGTCCGTAAAAGATTAAATTTTTATCAAAATTAAATGCAACCAAAAATGCTCGACTGTAAGTGGCTTCAGCTTTAATAGCATCTACTTACATGTAACATCAGAATAGTGTGAACAGATGCTTCCATAATCAGACTAAAATCGGATTTGACACCCGACAAGAAGGAACGTTTCGTTAGTCGTGCTGTACTTAGTAAGTTTAAGTACATTTTTAGGGTTTCGTACCTCAAAAGGAAAAAACGCAACCCTTATAGGATCACTTTGTTGTCCGTCTGTCTGTCTGTCTGTCTGTCAAGACCCTTTTTCTCAGGAACACGTGGAGGTATCAAGCTGAAATTCATATCAAATACTCAGGTCTACTGTCCCTTGGAGCTGTGAAAATATCAAACTTCTAAGCCAACGCAATTAAAAGATACAGCCGATTATGCCGCAAATTTTTGACATTCGCAAGGGAATCAAAACCTACAGGGTACTTCCCGTGAACTCAGAATCTTGAAATTTGGTACGAAGCAACGTTTTATAGCACAGATAAAGGAGAAATTGCGAAAAGCATAAATTTTTAGTTACATCATTTAATAAAAATATTTTTAATAATTTTAAACTTATATGCCTACGGATTATTCGGAACCCTCAGTGCGCGGTTTCGACTCGCACTTGGCCGGTTTTTTTACTTAACGTCATATAAATAAAACTTATAAAGTGAGGCAGTACCAAAGACATTTAAGTAGTAGTAGCCTATATATGTAAATCTCTTTGGGAAGTACCTAGTTTGGGAGCCATTAGTTTTTTTAACACTGCTAAAATAGTAAATTGCAATTCTAAATGCTGATTTATCACGTTTTTTTTTTATAGGATAGGGTAACAAACGAGCACACAGTCCACCTGATGGTAAGTGGTTGCTGTGGCCCATAGACATCTACATCTATCTTCGTTTGCAAATTAAAATGCAGATACGTTGTCACCCGTGAGGACTAAGATAGAATGCCTCTTTTCCAGTAAAAAGGATCTCCGGTTCTCTACACTCACCGTACGAAACACAGCAGCATGAAGCTGCTATTTGACGCTGGTATTCTGTGAGAACGTGGTCCTCCCCCGGTCGAGCCGACCCATTTGTGCTACAACTATACTACTAATATAGCTGCAGCATGGCTCTACCACGTTCTAATATTTCACGTGCTCTGTGGTGAAGAAAAACGTAAGAAAATCTACACTAACATGTGCTGGAAGAGCGCGCCGACCTAATACTTCCATAATACTCTTATAAATAAAAGACACTAGTGTATTTAAGCTGTAGCTCTAAGTAAAGTGTACGAGGACGACACTGAAAGTTTTTAGAACTGGCCACTTGTAAACGATATAATAAAAAAATAAGTTCAAATTTTGAAAATGGAACTCTGCCAATATTATTGTGTATATGTTTTATTAATTTGTCATCTGTTTGCGATTTGGCGGCAAATTGAAAATTGTCTGTATCGCGTCAGTATGAATTTAACGCGAAAAAATTTTCGTTCAATGATTTTTTATGACTTTCGATGTCATTTAAGTTAACAAGAAAGTTATGATAGACTTTGATTGGCCTTTCACGATGAAGCCCGATCTCGTGCCACTGTTTACAAGTGGTTAAATGAGTTTAAACGTGGTCGCACTAATCTCACTGATGATCTGCGTGAGGGACGGCCTTCGACGGCGACGACTACAGATAACATCAGTGTTGTGCGGCGTATGATAAAGACTCACAAAAAAGTGACTTATCAGCAGATTCGGACAAGCTTAGGCGTCGGTATTAGTCAAGTGCACAAAATCCTTCACGAACATTTAGCGGTCAGGAAGCTTTGTGCTCGGTGGATACCTCATAATTTGACAGAGGCCCAAAAACTCCGTCGTGTTGACTGGTGTCGTGAAATGGTTCAAAGATTTAACGGAGGTGACTCAAATGCTGTGTTCAACATACTTACGGGTGATGAAAGCTGGATTTATTATGATCCTGAAACTACGCCACAGTCTGCTGTCTGGGTGTATCCTTCCGAGGAGTTGCCAACTAAAGTGAAGAGAGGTAGAAGCGTGGGAAAAAAGATGGTGGCCTCGTTTTTCGGAATGACAGGTAATGACGCAATAATTGTTTTAGAGGATCGAAAAACAGTTACTGCAGAGTGGTACACTAACAATTGTTTGCCACTTGTCTTAGAAACAGTTCGGGAGAAACGACCTCGCAGTAGGATCCTTCTTCACCACGACAACGCCTCGTCGCACATCGCCAAGCAAACAATTGACTACTTGGTGACGTCAGACGTGGAATTATTAGATCACCCGCACTATAGCTATAGGAAATAAAAGAAAAACTTCGAAGAAAACGTTTTATGGACGTCGAGGAAGCAGTGGCTGCGTTTCAAAATGCCGTCGAAGAGACCCCTAAGGATAAGCGGGCAAAGTGCTTTTCTCAGTGGTCCATCGGATGTAGCGATGTATTGATGTAAATGAACACTATTTTGAAAAGATATAATAAAACTAATAACTTGCTAGTTTGTTCAGTTTTTGATTTTCTAAGAACTTTCAGTGTCAACCTCGTAATGGTAGTAAAGTCAATTCCTACAAATGCTTTATTGTATTCTTTTATATTTGAAAGGAGAATAGAAGAGCACAATCCACTGTGTATTACGAATTGGCGGATATCATATTATATTCTAAAAATATTTCTTATTTTAGACGCAGCTTTTCTCGTGCGGATTTGTTTTAACAAAGAGCACGTGGTATAGAAAAATAGTCAGTATTTAAAGTAAAGAACAAAAAAACTTTGATGGCACCTTGAACACTTTCGATATACTATAAGTATGTACTCCGATGTACTTATTGACTTTAATATACACCTTCAAAAAAGCCTCAAAAAATTTTGGGATATCCGTTAACTGGATACGTAATATTACACTTAGTTTCGCTCTACTATTAGAGCTGTGTATTTTTTTTATAGGATAAGGGTGACAAACGAGCATACAGTCCACCTGATGGTAAATGGTTGCTACGGCCCATAGACATCTACATCTATCCTCTGTTACAAATCAAAATGTAGATGCGTTGTCACCCGTGAGGACTAAGATGGAATGCCTCATTTCCAGTAAAAAGGGCCTCCTGCACTCACCAAGCGAAACGCAGAGGTAAACCTCTACTTCACGCTGATTTTCTGTGAGGTCCTGGTACTACCCCGGTTCGAGCCGGCCCATTCGTGCGACAGCAAAAGCTGCCGCGTGGCTCTACCACTGTTAAAGTATACATTTTATATTAACAAATGTTAAAGTAAAATGTTGTATGTTAAAAAATTGTGCGTGTAATTGTGTACACACCTACAAAGTGAAGATTATTTACGACATATAATCTTCACTTTGTAGGTGTATAATATATACTGTATTGTATATTACTGTATGTAATAATATATAAAATATAAATATAAAACAAAAGAAGAATGTATCATTCTTCTTTTGTTTTATATTTTATATAATATTAACTTAAATAATAACATACTCATGTAGCACAGGCGGGTGAAAAACATTACAAGAAAACTGGACT